CCATTTCCTCAGTTCATTCATTACTTCTCTTGTGTTCTTGGAACTGAGAGAGGATCAAATTTGGCCAACCTTGACAATAGTGGAAGCTGGTCCTGGGAGAGAAGTGGGAGTGATTATGTAACACCAAAGTGGGGTTGGTGGGAGGGTTGTGGATACACAAATGACCACTCAATGAAGAACAGTTACAAGTAAGCAACCTGGTTTTCTTCCTGATGGTCCCTGTGCATCACACGTATGGGCACCTAGTAAGCGCACCTCTGATATGGACAATGAGAAGTGATGTCGTCAAAGGGTCAAGGAGAATACTGCTCTGCCAAAGAAACAGTCCAACTTTACACAGACATCATCCCTGTAACGCTCAACAGATGCTGACAGCTTGACTGCCTTGCAGAGGTCTAGCAAGAGAATTCCTGCATGCAGGGCTGCAGATGTGACCATCCCCCTGGTGGAGTGTACCCTTGATTTGCACCGGCAATTTAGTCCCACCAGCTGGTAAGCAAGGATGATTGTGCTCACTACTTAGGCCCCATGTCTTTGTGTGGAGACAGGTTGGTCCATACTGGTGTCACCATAACAGAGTTTTTGGAAGCATCAAAATGACTCTGTTCTTGAGTGGTAGAAATTGGGTGGGAGGTAGAACATGTCATGGTTAAGGTGAAAGAATGAGACAACCTTGGACAGAAAAGATGCATCAGACATAACACTGCCTTCACCTTATGGAAGACCAGGTATGGAAGGTCTATTTGGAAGGCACAAAGCTATCTGGCTTGGCAGGCTGACCTGATGGCCTTGAAAGAAGCATCAATAATTGCCACTGGTTCTTGTAAGGGCATTCCTGTAAGGGCCTATAGCATTCCTGACAGCTCAGTGTAAAGGATAGGGTAGGTGGGGCTATATTCTGTAGTGCCTTTGGGAATCAACAAGATATTGGATTAGAGAATATTAAGAAGCCCTAATTTGGGGCATGGAAGGAGAAGACTGTCTCCATGTACACTCAGATGGATGATGCCTTCAGTCCTCTGGAACAGTGCATGAAGGAAAAGGAACACTTGTTTGATTGTACTGTGTCTTGGGTCAAATGCCTTGCAGTGTGCAAAGGAAGAGAAGGTGTTCCATTTTACTCTGTAACATTTCCTGCTTGAAGATTTAAAGCCTGAGTCCAGGATTGCTTCACTGGTCCAGCAGTAGGGTTGTGGGCATATCATCTACTGGATGATCTTCCAGTTCATGAGGCATAGGAGAATCATGCCTCATTTCTGAAAGATCAAGACTGTATCCAATGGAAGCTGGAGAAAGGTCCTGTTGGAGAGCCAAAGGAGTTAGGTGAACCATGGTTGCCTTGGTACTATGGTTTGATTAAGATGCAGCTCATTTTGTCTCAATGGATTTTTGCCAATACCCTGGTGATAAGCGGGAACAGGAGGAAAAGGAAGAGCAGTATCCCTGACCACTGTAGAAGGAATGCTTCTCCCAGGGAGCCTCTGTCTGCTCCAGCCAGAGAGCTGAAGTTCTTGTGTACTGCACTGCTGTTGGTGGCAAAAAGGTTGTCCATGGGTGTTCACCAGGTTCAAAGATCCTGCTGAATATGTTGCTGTTCATATGCCATTCATATATATATTTGCCAATATGCTGCCAGTACCAGTTATGCAAGCTGCTGGAAGAATGATAACCTAACTGGTACCCCAGTTCCATATGTGGACAACCATGTGTGTCAGCAGGATGGAATGTGTGCTTCCTTGTTTGTTGAGGCAAAACATCACGGTGAAACTGTCCATGGCTACTGGGATATTGTAGTTTGTAAGGATTGTCTGGAAAGCAAAAATGCTTTTCTGTACCACAATCATATTGAGGTAGTTGATATGCTTCTGGGCCTCTTGGTTGGTCCAACCCTTGAGTCCTCACATTGGCACAGTGAGCTCCCCATCCATGCAGAATAAGGATGCATTCATACTGACTGTGAATGACAGTTCCAGTGAAGCAAAGCTAACTCCTTCTGTGAGGTAGTGAGGGGAAGTCCACCAGTCAAAGCTCAATCTGAGAGATGTTAGCATACTGTGATGAGTTCAGTGGTGGTGGCCCCGTGGGTGGATGCTATGCACAAACCAGAGTTGGAGGGGACACATGTGCAGTATGACAAATCATACCACTGTGATTGTTGCTGCCATGAAGCCAAGTAGACATTGTACCTGTAATGATCACATGGGTGTGGAATTTGGTGTCTAGTTTGATCAATGTGGCTGCTCTAGGAAAGTAGGCCTTAGCTGACATTAAACCGATGTGGGCCCAAATGAAAAGGACAGATTGAGAGACAGAAAGAATTTTTTTTTTATAGATTTATGTGGTCTAAGATTTCATAGCAGAAAGGCAGGTCACTTACTATTCACATATGGGTAAATAGCAAGCTTACCATACCCAAGAGGTGGGAAGGTGTTGTCATTGTAGAATGGGAGAGAGGACAGCACGTCCAAATAAGCAGTCCCCTTCTGGCTCTGGTGTCCAATCAGTAGTGTCATATGAACGTACACAGAGTCACCCATGTCGCTGCCTTGCAGAGATCCTGCACAGCAATGCCCGCATGAGGAGCTGTTGAGGTGGCAACAGCCGTAGTAGAATGCCCTTTTGGGATAGTTGGCAGTTCCAGATGTGCGAGTTGGTAGGCGAGTTCAATGGTTTCGACTACCCCTTAGGCTAGGCGTTGGAACCCAATGGGTGATCCTTTGTCATGACTGGAGTATTTGACAAAGAGGCATTTAGTTTGTCTGAATTGCTCTGTCCAAGATTTATAAAAGGCAAGTGCCCTTCTGACATCTAACATGTGCAGCGACCTTTTGGGGGGGCGGTGTGGAAGGAACAGGAAAATAAGCTGGTAAAACGATGCCTTGATTTAAATGAAAGAAGAGGTTACTTTGGGTAAGAAGGTCAGGTCCATCTGCAGGACCACCTTTTCTTTAACTCACATAGGGTGGATCTACTCAAAGCACACCTAGTTCACTAAACCTCCAGGCCAAAGTGATAGCCACCAGGAAGGCTGTCTTCCATGATAACAGTCTTAAGTCAGTTGTTGCAAGAGGTCTGAATGGTGCTTTGGTCAATGCCTGAAATACCACTGATAAACTCCATGTTGGGATCAAGGGTTGGATTGTCGGATTTAAGTTTTGTAGACCCTGTAAGAATTGATACATCAAGTGGTGCAAGAAGACTGAAGATCCCTCAAATCTGTCCCCTATAGTAAGATATAGCGGTCATGCATACGCTGATATTGGTTTCAATCCTGAGTGGTGTAAGGACAGGAGGAATTGCAGAATATTTTGGACTGTTGCATGTGCAGCTGTGAAGTTATGATTCATGACAAAGATCTTGAACCCTTTCCATTTCGAAGCATATGATTGCCTGGTATTCAGGTGAAGAGCTGACTGAAGAATGGCCTGAATTTCAGGAGCTAGTGTGAGGTCCATGGGCTCTACTGAATCAGCCATGCTGTCAGGTTGAGTGTGTGAAGATCCAGGTGAAAGAATTTTGCCTTGATCCCTCAAAATTAGATCCGGTACTTTGGTAAAATGTCCCCTGTGACAGGCAACAAAGTGTGTTGAGCCAGGCCTGACAAGGCCACCATGGCGTTATTAGAATGCATTCAGTCCTGTCCTGTTTCAGTTTGGATATAACCTTGGTTATCATTGGGATTGGCGGGAATGCATAGAAGAGAGCATTGCTCTAGTGGATCATAAATGCATCTCCCAACGAGTTTGGTCCAACTCCAGCCCCTGAGCAGAAACGGTTGCAGACTCTGTTGCGGTGTGTGGCAAAAAGACTGATCGCTCATTGGTGGAACAGCTGAAGGAGGATACTGTAATTTAGTTTCCTGGTATACCGATTCAAAAAGTCCACCTGTTTTTGGTACTGTCTACATGTACTGTTTGTAGATTTATATTGTGATGCATACACCAGTTCCAGAGGCATATCATTAGTTTGGCAAGAGCACCTGATCTTGTGCCCTCTTCTTTGTTGATGTAAAAGACCATGTAGATGTTGCTATCTGAACATACTGGTATGCTACAATGTTCTGAAATGAGAGAAGGGCCTTGAATATGGTAACTCCAGGTAATTTATGTCTCATCCAGTTGAGACCCTGCCATTGTCCCTACATTTGGTGTTGGCCATAGTGCACTCCCTATCCAGTCTGGAATGCATCCATATGCACGGTTATTGTCAGGCTCAATGGTTGAAAAGGCATGTCCTGGATTAGAGGTTGTTATTTGTTGTCCACCAGCAAAGCATTTTCAGAACTCAACAAGGAATAGTGACTTGTTGGTATGGATTGTTCTCTTCGGGATAGTATGTACGATTCATCCATAGTTGCAGCAGTCTCATTTGTAGTCTTGGATGTTGTACTACTGATAACATAGACACTGTATATCAAATACTTTGAATAGAACCCTTGCTGTCTTTCAGGATGGTCTACTCTCTGGATGGCCTCTTTCTGAAGTCTTAATTTCTTGGAGGAAGACCAGAGAGGATGTTGTTCTTCGGACTGTTCCAGAGGAGGCAGGGTTTTGAATTCAATCCAGTATCCTTGGTCTATAATGGACAGAAACCACTGACTGGATGTGATAGATTCCCAGGTGGGGAGATGGTGTTGTAGTCAATGCCCAAATGGGAATGGTGGGGAAAGAGTAAAAATTGCTAGAGGGTTCGCACCACCCATCAGCACTGGCACTTCTTGGTATTGAGCCTCTTTTTAGATCACTGATAGCGGTTGGGCTTGGAGCATCATGGTTGTGATGGTCTCTGCCCATACTGAGGTTGGCCAAAAAGGTAGCCACAATATGTGCAGGCAAATGGGCAGCAAGTCGAAACATCGCCCCTCTTGGTCCATCGGGGTAGAGTGTTCTCTTACTTGGCATCCCTGGGTCACCTCAATCACAATAGAATTTGGCCAAGGATGATGAAGGAAGAAGGGTATATCCTGTTCCCTTATTCTATACATACCCTTCAAGTGACGTGATGTTGGGTATGGTTGGTAAGGCCATTCCCAAGGTTCCATCATTGCATCCTGGACAGTTGGTATGAACAGTAGAGCTGCTGGAACTGCATTCTTAGTACGTATGACATCGTAGATCAAATTTATGTCTGACACTGTAGATTGTTGGACATCAACACTGAGGGAAGTTGTCATTCTCACAATCTGCTCAGAGAAACAACCCAGACTTTTGCCTGGCAATCCAAGCCCCTGGCTTGAAATCATGCTGTCTGGTGATGTGGAAGTGGCCTCCTCACTATCGATGGTAGAGTATGAGTTGGAGTCATACAGCACATTGGAGGATGAAGAGCATGCTGGCGAGCCATGTTCGGAAGGAAAGTCAGTTTCAGGAGCTGGAGATGTGGACAGAGCATCATTTGGTTGTTTCCTAGGTGGTCTGGGGATAGGCAGGTATCGATGTCAAGGCATGTAGTCCTAACTGGGCTGCACATGAGGGATCTCGATGAGCGGTGGAGACTTTGGACTAGACTGGACCTGTGGAGATTGCCTGGGAGACAAGTGGATCGATGACTGACATCTGGGGCTCTCTCTCAGTACAGATGAAGCTCTTGGTACTGATACCTCTGAAAATGCAAGTGTTCTAAATGGGATTTTCTTCTTCTCTGGTTTATCCTTATCGGAGGGCTTTTCCTTATGAGTCTCTTTAAACTCAGTATGCTTCCGTTTTTCCATTTTTTTTTTTTGGGGAGGGGGAGCATCCAAAGTAGTGGAAGGAGTTATTGAACCAAGGTTTTTGGAGCTTCCTTGGTCGGTTTGGAAGCCTGGGCTGAGATGTCTCCTTGGGCAATAGAAACCAGATAATTTTCCTGCTGTGACCTCTCTCACTGTCACCAGCACTCTCTCCCACAATTCATTTTTCAGTTGGCTCCCCCAATTTTTTCCTGCCAGCTTGGTAAAAGCCTGGCAATGGAAGCACTTGTCCACCCTGTGGCCTTCGCCCAGGCAGAACAGAAACAAGGAATGGGTGTCTGTGGAAGGCATTTTTGCCCCACACTGAATGCACTTTTGAAAAGTGACCCACTGCGCCATCGAGAGAATGCACTTTTGAAAACTGGCCCACTGTGCCATCAAGGAGAGGGAAAGAAGAATAGAGGTATAGGCAATACGGGGGTTTTATATTTGTAAATATTTGTATATTTGTAAGGGGAGTGGGGGTAGGATTAAGGAGGAGGAAAGGGATGAAAGGTATTGCAAAGAGAAAAATTAAAAGGTACAGAAAGTTTAAATGCCCCCTTTCCACTCTAGGGATAAAGTGGAAAAGGGTATAATCATAAGGCACCCCAACATCCCAATGCACCTGACTGCCATCTGATCTTTGCACATTCAACACAAGGATATGAATGGGGCCATTAAACACAGTTACGGAGAGCTCCCATGATCAGAAACATACCAAGATTTCTGATAAAGGAACTGCTAACACATCCAACCAAACAGTTAAAAAACCCAGTTCAGATCTTTGAGAAGAACGAGTACTGAGTTATGGCATATCATACTATGGGTACTGGGAGCAAGGTTTGTGAACTATCTGTGTTCTTCTCTCCATTTTAGCCTTCTGTACATTCAGGCAAGTTTTTTCATTTTAGCATCCAGCTTAGTGAACAGGGGGGTTCCTGCCAAAAACATATTTAGGTATGGAATCTTCAACAACACGCCCCACACAGGTGCAGAGCCCATATGTGTGATGCACAAAGACCACAAAGAAGTAATCCAGCTAATTAGATTCAGTATTTCTGCAAGAATTGTTATTCAACATCCACCTTTTTACAAATAGCTCCAAGTTGCAAGTAATACCCTATTCATTCAGACAGGACCCCAGATAATTTAATTTTGGGCTTATAATTTTTCTTCTAGTAAACCAGAAGCCCTACGAAATAGAAATCTTGACGAAAAAAGGAAGAGTTTGGGGCAAAGGAATAAATGTCTTTATTAATATTAATAAATAAAGAGTTTGGAAGAGTCTCTAAGAGTTTGGGGCAAAAGGAATAAATTTTCTGGAAGTTCAATAGTACTCTGTGTCCACATGTAGCAGCTACAGAAAAGGAAACATTAACGAGAAATTCCTAGTGGCAAGAGCAGCTTAGTAATGAATCCACATGCCCAGGTTGCCTCTGATACCACTCTCTTTAGTGATTCTACAGCTAAGATTGCATAGCAAACTGCCAAGGGCTATGGGTGGACTTTGAATTGGTCCAGACCCATTGGATACTCTCCCACACACACAACTATAATTGACCACCAAGTCTGTGGGTAGTACTGCTATTTTACCTTTACTTTGGTTTCAGTGATCTATAATATGACCAGCTTTTTCTAGCTACATGCTTCAGACTTACACAGGATTGGTTCAGACGTCAAGGCCAATAGGAACATCCTTTGGAACAGCACATGGTCTCTTGATTTATATATCTCACTTTCCAGTTTGTAGCAGCAACATAGTTTGCTATGATGTCCAAACTGGACAATCTACAGTTAAGCATGGATCATATTTAACCTCTAACTAGAATTGTTAGTCCAGTTCAAACCATGTTTCCAATTATGGTTTGGAAATCAACTATGCTTAATTCTTAGCTTGTTCCATTATCTAAAAGTTGAACAAACACTGCTATCATGGACCAGGAAGTATGGAAGAGAGCTGGGGCATCTGGGAGAGGGGGAGAAGAGAGTAACCTGGTCTAAAGTCTGACTTCTGAACCAGCTGTAAAGAAAGAAAGCATTGAAGCCAGGGGGTTGGCTCAAACAAATATGCAATTCTCTATCCCCCACCACTTGATAAAGCTGTACGAATGCCTAGTATAACACTTTATGATAAGGAAAGAAAGTTACGTCTACTCACGTCCACTCTGAAGTCTTCAAGGCGCCGGAATTTGCCGAGGTATTCTTGCAGTTTGCAGTCAATGTCCAAGTTTTTGGCTTTAGAATATTTCAAGAAGGCCCAAAACTTTTCAAGCCCGTAAAGCTGCCCTATTATGACAAGGGGAAAAAACATGAAACATAATAGCTGTGACTACAAATTTGTGACCATTAGTTTTATCCAACAAGCTGCTGGGAAGGAGTGGGAAGCAGAAGAAAGGAAAGGGACAGAAAAGGGGCTGAAGTCTTTTCTGGGAGATTATCCAAGACACAGCCTGGTATGTGCAAGATGGTGTGAGAGTGGAGTTGCCCCGGTAGTTGAAATTGGCCCCAAGAGCTCCAGAAGTTGCCTACCTCAATCTAAGAGCATAACATTCAAGACAGCCTCACCAATGTGGGCCCTTAAGACCATGCTGCAGTACCCAGGCTGGCAGAAGAATGCTGGGAATTGTAGTCCAACACAGCACAAGGCACCAGATTGAGAGGGGCTGGTTCAGGATGATCTTGGCCCCATGAGGGAGAGGCTACTCTAACAAGTTTTTTTAGGCAAAAGCTCACGAATGTAAATTTACCACTCAATACACTTAAAACCCCCTCATCTTGGGAGTCTGGAATCAGAGCATATCCCTTATCACACACAACCTTTGAGTCACTTGATTCTTAGCAACAAGAAGTCATACATGGAATACCATGCAATATGAGCATGCAAAATACAGGTCTCACTCACCAGCTTCATAATCCTTTATAGTTTCCTCTTGGAAATCCTTAAATATGTCAGGTCGGAATTTCTTTTCCAGTCCATAGCTATAGTATCTGAAAAGGCACTCCAATCCATACCTGCAAGACCACAAGATCCATCTCATCATTTGGCCAAATCATACAACTTCTCTTCACCAGAAACTTTCCAAGTTGCATCCCTGCTCTTGATTAAATCCAGCTAATTTACTAAATGTTCCCTTTCAAAAGCAAGGACTGTGCACACATTTGCTTCCTGATCTACACTCAATGTACATCCTCCTCCCTTTCCAGTCTTCAAATGCAATCCATTTGGTGCTAGTGGAATGGGCCTACCTGTATCCTTCTTTTGCATCTTCCAAGGCCAGTTGCTTGAACTCCTCATACATTTTCTTGTTAAAATGATCCCGAAGGAAAAACGACCAGAATCTGAAGAGTGTATTCATCTCCTGGGACTGACCAATGCCCAATCGCTTCCGCTCTGTTCAGAAGAGAAACAGACAAATTCAAACAAACTAGCTTAAGGCATACTTAAATCAAAATACTGTACCCTGCCCTGAAGGGGCAGGTGGAGATAACCATTTTTAAAAAAAACCATTTAGCACAAGGAACACCCAGTCCTTTTCATTATTGAAGATACTGGCTTACTATATCACCCAACAAGCAGCCAAGGGAGAGCAAGTTTAGATAACAACCAGTGTGCTACTAGAAGTAGTTTGGCTTTCAAATGAAAAAAAAAAAAACTGGACATATGACATCACATTCTTTCCTGTGACTTGAAACATGAAAAGGGAATTGGAACTAAAGAGCTGCACACAGCACTGGAATCTGTGCCCATTGTACATGCAATGCTGCCCACAGGACAGACCACAAAACTTGGAAAGAGAAACACTGTCAAGAAGCCACATAGACCAAAACACAATGAGCAAACTGGCTGATGTTTTCATGAAAGCCAAGTACATAATAAATTCAGCTTTATCCATTCAACTCACCATTAAGGCAGCGCCGGCGATATTTGTGGTAGACATGTTGCGTGAAGCCATTCTCCTTGAGGAGTTCATGGGAGGGGTGCTGGAACTTGGGCAACGACTGTGGAGTGCAGCCATAGCTGCCAATGGCTGGGGTACCTTCCGAGGGGCTGGAACTGAGCAAGGTTACACTTCACATCAGGGAGGGAACCACAGCAGTATTGTTCAGTAATAGAGTCTCAGCTATGCTTCAGAAAGGGATTTTCTCTTACCAACATACATACAGTGATACCTCGGCTCATGAATGCCTCAGTTCACGACCAAATTGGGCTGCAAACAGAAATATCATAAAAATTTTGCCACAGGTCGAGAACTCTGCGTTGGGTGACGATCGCGCCCACCTTCCCTGCATGCGTGAGACTGCGGTCATGCTGTGGGGGGGGGGGGGAGATGGCCATGTTCGTGCTGGGGAGGGAGATGGCCATGCCCGCCTCCCCCCCCAGCATGCCTGCGATTGCATGATCGCTGCCGGGGGAGGGGGGGGAGAGATGGACACGATCTTTGTTGTTGTCACTTTGCTTCAAATTTTTGTAAGTAAAAAAAAAATAGTTGCAGAATGAATTAACTTTATTTACATTGTCCGTTATGGGAAAATTTGACTTGGCTCATGACCAATTTGGGTCACGACCAGAATCCTGGAACAGATTAAGTTTGTGAGCCAAGGTACCACTGTAGTTCTAAGAGAGTGCTAAAAAGATGTAAAAGCTACCAGAGGAGATAATATTGCGAGAAAACGGAGCACTTGCACGAACAGCTCTTTTGTTCTGCTCCGGTTTTAATCCCTCACGTTTTCCATTTTCACTGAAAATCATGACCCCCTGCCTTCTGGTACCTGATGGATGCTGTTCGAGGCCGATGCTCCCGGGAATCCATCACCCAACCAACATGGCATTCCATTGGAGGATTTGAACTGTGCCGTGTCTTCCTCTTCCGGGGTGTCTATAAGAAACAGAGGTTCAGATGAAATCTGCTGCATCATGAAGAGTGAAGTTTCTTACATGCATATATACAGAGAAACCTCGAGCATGCTGGTCTTACCTTGGCATCTATTAGCCTGCCTTCCTTTACCACTGGATAAAATCTCGGCGTCTGTGTTGGGTCTTTAAGCTGAGGTGTACGAGGAGTTCGGGGGGTCCTGGCATTGCGGTAATTTGGAGATTCTGGCACAGTTGTTGGCAAAGATCGGGCAATGGTTGAAGGCTCTGGTACACCAAAGAGTTTATTGGCCAGAGCATCTGTAGGAACTACAATGGGAAAATGTTTCAAACTGTTCTGCTTATATGCAAAACATATATCTTACTTTCCAAAAGCTTACATAAACACTTTTCTTTCTAACCCTTCACCTAGCAGCTTGTCCTCAGAGAAAAAAGTTGTTAGCATGAAAGATTCAACAGACGTGTATTTGTTTTTTAGCCACAACAGAATTATTACAACTGTACTATACAAAGACAGGACATAACTCCACCTGCTAAATATAAACTTCAAAATGTAACTCAACATTAAAAGTTTACTAATTCTGGAAAACTGGAGAGTAGAAGAGAAGCCATAAGTGTTAGCTAAATGCTCAGAAGTGTCTTTCCACTAAAACTTGTTAAACTGCTAGACCGCAGCAAAAGATTTGGCAACCTACCTTGCTGGAACCTGGGTGGCCCAGGAGGGACTTCCTGATTTGGATCAACAGGAGGTTCGGGTGTCAGAGTGTCAAACTGTTCTCGACTGATCATATTCACTTTCTTGAAGTTCTCTACTTCTTGCTGCATTTGAAAAGCGCACACACAGAAATTTATGTATAGAGGTTGTTGTTGTTGTTTTTTAAAAGACACCCTACAAGTTTAGAGGAGAAAAAGGCCCATCCTGACACATATTGAGCCAAAGTTGTACCACCTAAACCATTCTTGCAGAAAGACAAAGCTTCAGAGAAGAACTCCAGTGATGGATGCAGTGCAACACAACAGTTCAAGTGGACAGAAGAGTAAAAATAGGGTGTTTCTCAAGGATCTATCAGAAATAATTGAACAAATATATGGTTGCTCTAAGTAGTAAGGCTCAACAGTATAGTAGGTTCAAAGCAGTAAGGTTCAATAAGAGGGCTTGATAAAACTCAGGAATGTATCTTCCATGTGTGCAGTTTAGTAAGAAATAACAAATGGAAGACAAAAATTGATACACTTTTCATACATCTGTTCCATTCACATGTGAGAAATAGATGGAAGGTCTTAAGAGTAGAAGAAACACTCATAGAAGAGAGGTGCTGAACCTAGACCTGTTCTTTCACCTACTTTTCTGCATTTCTGCCAGCTAATGTCCAGAAGAAGTGACTGGAGCAACTGACTATGGAGATGAGGCAGTGGAGGATTAGGGTTAACCTTTTCTCATAGACTTAGAGACCATTTATCTCCTCCAGTTTTACATCTCAACAGAGCAGGCATGAAGAAATGGTCTCATCAAGTTTTGCTTGGCACACAGTTAACTTGTAATTTCAAAATGCAAAATCTTTCATCAATATGCAATTACTCCACAAACTGTCCTCATGCAAACATCATGAAGATAATTTCTCTGTACCAATATGTAAGCAATGAAGCTCCAATGTTCTTCCTGATTATCCTTCTTATCCTTCTGCACAATAAGGCCTCAGATAGGCCCTAAAGAATCATTGCTGTGAATCAGAATTGCTGTGAATGTCAGTCAGCACTGATTAACTGCAATTGTTACAGCAACTCTGATTTCCCAGCTCAAGTATCCAGCACCAGAACTCTCAAATCCAACACTGGAAATTCAAGTTGTAGATAGGTATTTAGTGGCTGATATTTGCATGTCCCTGTACATTGCAAGAGCTCCTTTTGAGAAGCACTTCTGCAACTGCCAATATTAGTCTTTCATTTCTGAAAGTAAGAGGTGTTGTGTTCACAAGGACAAGGAGTCTAGTTATATATCAGCAAACAACCATTTGGGCTTCCAATTTCAACTGTTCCACAAAACTGAAAGCAGGGAGTTTATTCAACTTTAGGCCTTATACCAATTATTTCATGCCTTTACATACCATTGGGGTCCACAAAAAGGGCTTTATATCATGCTTAAGATATGACTGCATTGCCCAAGTATAGGCAAGTGAGACCGAAAATGAAAACGAAGTCTTGAAGGCAATTACTTCTGAAAAAAGGAAGTGGTAGAAACCTGAAACATTTATGAAGCAGAATGCATTCCAAGCACAAAGACAACACAGCAAGCTAGGCCTGCTTGCTTGAGTGTGCAATATTAGCATAGGCAGAGGATTCAGAACATGCTATGCTGCTTTGCTAATGTTGTACAGAACTACTTAAAGCAAGTCCAGCATTTTGTTTAAAATTAGGTCCAGGTAATGAAAATATGAAGATGTAATTATGACATCTGCTATACAATAGAAAGCGGGCCACACAGGGAGAAGTAGTGAATCTCTTCTTCCAAACAGGTGATGGGTAATTGCAGCTGTTCTGGGTCCCTCGTTAAGAGCAAAATTTTCATCTCCTTTTCAATTACATAATAAAGAAAAATGAAACACTGTACTCACATCCAACAAAATACAAGTATAAGAACATAGTGTGGGAACCACCCTTTAGTAATCACTTTCTCTTACTTGTAGTCTCCACAGAGGAGAGCAGGAAAAGGCAGATGCATTCCCTGAAGTTAGCCACACACCCAGGGCATATACTTGCTTGTCAGATCCACCAGATTTGTCAGATTTTGTATTTATTTACAAGGCACAGACACTATAATACTACCAGAAGATTAACTCACTGCTACCTTAGAAATCTAATAAAGACCCCAGCAGACAAGCTTCTTTGCCTGTTCCAATTTCAAATCAGACACATTTTTGTTCCAGTCAAGATGCTGCCCCTGGTTCTCACCTTTATCTGGGAGTACTCTGGTTCAAATTGCTCCGTCCACAGGTCCTGCTCATAGTAATACAGTCCATCATTGATCACCTTGGCCAATTCTGAGCTCATCTTTGCCCTGGATGTGTGATTGCCTGTTCTGTCCCCTCCTGGGTGCCGGCGCAGGTAAGGGGGTGTTTGTGTTACAATCAAAATTTTATTCACATCCCTATCATCAATCTCATAGTCCGAATCCTCGTCTGACCAATCAGTGAAAGTGTTTTTACGCCCATCCATCTGTTCCATCTCCTCATCAAACAGGAAGTCTAGTTCCTCAGGTTCATCCTGGTCCTTCTGTTTCAGTGGTGTTTTGGACTCTTCTGGCTTCTGCTATCAAAATGGATAATACTGTCAATATAGGAGCTGATGGAGGCATCAGACTTAGCTAGGGCTTTTGAAACCAAACTGAAAAGATAAACAGCAATGCAGTCACAGATTCTATCTCAAGAACAGTTAGTGCCTAACAAACTAAGCACAGTCTGATAGCCTCAAGCCCAGGGCATCACAAGTTCATATTGTACAATACTGCATTTGCTGAGTCTCTATGCCAGCGGTGGGCAGACTTCAGACTTAACTTATTTACTTTGTTTTTTACTAAAATCCCAACAGTACCAACTGAAAAGTGGCACAACAGGAAGAAATAAAGAATTCGAACCCATTAAATTTGTTTCCAGTATCAGAACAGAAAGGAATTCACTGCTCTTCCACAAAAAATTCAGTTCCTGGTTAGCAGGTAAAGGAGAACAGAGTCATTTGTCACTATCATTGTTTGAACAACTGGAAACTGAACATCTTTGTTGCCCTACTGCAAATCACCCTGAGATCTAATAGTTGATGATAAACCATCTTCCCACCTTGTTCTATGCCAGAAATAGGTTATTTACAGTCCCCTAGAAGTTAGTGAACTGCAACTCCCATCAGTCCTAGCCCTAATTACTAATGGTGAGTGACAATGAAAGCAGCAGTCCTCCGACGTTTGGTAAGTTACACATTCCTCATCCCTGCTTTAAGCACAGTGAATAGGCCTTGTAGCGTAAGAATTCCTGTACTGCTACAAAATCATAGCAGGTTCTGTAAACCAATAACTATTATTCTGTGTGTGTGTGTGGGGGGGGTTGTTATATGAAATATCTAACTGGGATTACCTTTGTGTGAAGGAGTATGATTCAATTCTGACTGGGGATAAAACTTCTTATCCAGAATGCTCAGTACAACTGAAGTAGGAGGAGACAACATGAACAAACTTCCTGCTATTTCTGCCTGGCAAAGAGCATCATGTCCATTTGGAGATCTGACCTACTTAAGAAAATGAGACAATGCTGTTCACCAAATACCTTAGGTCTGACTGGAGAAGGCCTGGGCCTTTTCTTCACTTCAATCCATGCCTCAGAGTCCAAGTCTGGCAGACTAGCCGAAAGGCCTTTAGGCATTGTCTTCAGATTGCTAACTTCCTCAGTTTTGGTTGGCACAGGACTGGCAGAGCGAGGAGAACCAGGAGCAGATTCTGTAATGTGTATTTTAATAAAATATAAATAAATGACCAGTATGTGCAAGCAATATCCTTTTGCAAAATATAAAGAAAGATAAATTTGATATTGTGCATGGCACATATTTTGCTCATGCATATAAATATAACTGAATAATGGTGGCAACTATTTCTTCTTGAAGTGCCAACATGAAAACCAACTTAAGAAGATTCTTTCGACTTAATTTGGATCAAGTATACACACACACAAACAAAAGCAAGGGTTCTTTTATGTACACTGAACATAACTTTTGTCTGTTCCTCAGTGCAGCACCTTGTTAGGAAACAAACTTTGGCTCACTTGGGTACTCAAAAAAGATTTGCTTAATTAGCTAAGATATCCAGTTCTCTATGAAGAAGAAAACTAGAAATATTTTTATTTTAAAATTTATAAACTATTTCTGAAATCTTTCAGTTGTGAAACCAAGGTAATTTACAGCAAAGTATCAGTACAGATTTTCAAAAGCAAAGCCAAAATAAAACAGGTAAGCAAACCATAACCAGACTGTTATTTTACTTATTTCTACTCTGCTCAACAACCAGAGTTCTCTAGGCAGTTTTAACAGTGCATAATACAGTAAGAAAACAATATAAAATACAAATCAAAATAAAACATCATAAAAACTATACTGCAACATTTAAAGACCAAATTTAACAGCTACAATAACACAAATTAAGACATAAAACCTGTTAGACAGCTGATTATTTAGAGCTGATTAAATGTACTTTCAAGGGTCAGTGTTCAGCTGTTCTGAAAAGAGAGTACAGGGGTGCCAGGCAGACATCCATGGGAAGTTTGTTTCGTAATTGGGGGCCTGCCACTGAGGAGGCCTCCCTCCTGGTTGTCACTAACCAAACCTCTCTTAGAGAGGTCGCACGCTATCTTGATCACGGTGCCCAGGTAGAAATAAAAATAGCACACATTAAAAGCTTGGTATGAAAAATGCAACTTATTTGACACCTGCTTAAAGGACCACAAAGACTGAGTCTAGCAACCTCACCAACTGCACTTGCCTTAGTAGTGAAACAAAGAGCATGTACAACTGATTGGAAAGGTCATGCCAGAGGTGATAAGATTTTCAAATATCTTGGGTACAAGCCATTTAGGACTTTAAAGGTAAGAGCCAAGTTTTGTATCAGCTATTGCTTCCAAACATGGTTCAAGGCAGCACCATACAATATGCACTACAGTAACTTATTCTAGATAGGGAGGACTAAAGCATCTATAACTTTGGCCAGATCTGCTTTCTTCAGGAAGGGAAACAAGCAGGTGCACCACTCAAAACAGAGCAAAAACACTCCTAGCCACAGTAGCCACTCTGCCTTCCAAGAGCACCTCTCAAACTGTAAATTTGATTCTTCAGTATAGGTTATCCTTCCAATCTCAGGTCAGCACTTCTTATGATCAATAGTACTTTTGTTTTATATGGATTAAGCCTCAGCTTCTTAGTAACACCCAATCTAACATTGTACCTAGACACTAGTTTAAGATCTCCATTGCCTCAATGAGACCAGCTGAAAGCAGAAGACAGAACTAGATGTTAGCACCCAACCTCAAAACAATTACTTCTTCCAGGACTTTCATGTGGATGGGGACATGAGGACCAAAACTGAAGTCTGAACGACCCCAAATGCCCATTACCAGGAGGCTGAACAACAGTCTCCCATACCACTTTCAAAGAATGTCCAGCCAGAAAAGACTGAAGGATACCATGGATGATAGGACTGAAAGTTCAAAATATATCCATTAAAATAAGACAACCAGAAATCTCAGTTAATACACAGTGGTAGCAGAGTAGTCTAATTTCTTCACAACCAGAAAGTAGGCTTAAAACAAAAAGTTTTAAGCACCTTGTCCCTTCTACTGTTAATCGCCAAGGCTTAGATTGCTGCCCATGACAGTTCCTCAAAGATATCCTTCTTGGTGAGAAGATAGGTGCAAAAACCATGACCAGCTATTTACTATCTCCAAAAACAATAGTTCTCCAAGTTCTCACTATGGCCAGAAAATGGGTATAAACCAAGAAACAAGCTGGACAAAAACTGATACGTAAGCCCAGGAAAGCTTCTGCTTCCAATAAATGTCAGAAATACTGGGCTAGATGAACCAGTGGTCTGTCTTGATATAAGGTAATTTTTTACAGTACTTGTTCAGCAACCCATAAACAGGAACAGGAGTAAGAGCAGTAAATCTACTTTCCAAGCAAAATCAATTTAAATTACAAAACTAGAGGCTGTCAAAGACAACACATAGAAAGTATTGCTTTCCTCTGAATAACATGTCTCCCTAACATTGCTACTGGGCAAATAGCAGGGAGAGCCACTGATTTTTTTGAAATTAAAGGTAAAAGGTAAAGGTTTCCCCATGACATTAAAGCCCAGTCATGCCTGACTCTAGGGGGCAGTGCTCATCTCCGTTTCCTAGTTTGTCCACAGATGGTTTCCATGGTTATGTAGCCGACATGACTAAACAGCAAAGTGCACGGAATGCTGTTACCTTCCCACCAAAGTGGTACCTTTTTATCTACTTGCATTTGTATGCTTTCGAACTGCAAGACTGGCAGGAGCTGGGACAGAGTACGGGAGCTCACCCCGTCTGCGGATTCGAACTGTCGACCTTTCGATCAACCAGCCCAGCGGCTAAGCAGTTTAACCCACTGTGCCACCGCATCCCTTTTTTGATGTTATGCTACTGTAAATGTTCGTGCCTAAGGACTACAATTACCACCAGCTACTATTCACTGCACATCATAGTATCAATCATAAGAACTTTCATACAAAGAATGATAAGACATATCTGCCGCTATGGAATAGTAACATCCAGAAATTATGTATGTCCTATCTATGGCCCACAACATGATTTTTTTACTCCACATTAAAACATGTAATCTACAACTTTTGAGCAGTAAAGCTGATCTTTTCCTAATTATGAAAGAAAGAGAGAAGTGAGAAAATGAAAAGGTATGATTATGGAGTCATGGTCTAAAACTACATGGCAAATTTGCTTCTCAAAACACTGCACCAATACTGACCTGTCTCCTTTTGGAAGCTTTGCCTGGGCACAAACTCTGGGCAGTTAATTAGCTGTGAGAAGTCAGTCTGTGCATAATCCGTCATGGGAGGGCCAGGTAAAGGCCACTTCTCTGGTTCTTCCTTTCTCCTGATCTTCAGGTCCACAATCTCTACCACTTTACTGTCTTTCAGTGCCTGCAAAACAAGCCCTGTCAATATCAATATACCAAACCAAGGTCTGCTGCAATCACAGCTGCCAAAAAATCTTGGGAAAGGGTAGTAAGTACGGAATATTAATACAGAATACTGCAACTCTCCCAGTGACTTTAAAGTTATACTCTCTGGAGGTTAAAACCATGAAGCCACAATTGGAGTGGACATATAATGGACCACCAGTAGCCCAACATACAGACTTCTATTACCTGATGCAAGCCTCAGAGAGATACCAAGATGTAACCAAGAACCTGAACACAACTTTTTCAGGCACATATCCAATACTTATTCGAAAAGCATCCTGTAAAAGATATGAAGGCTACTTTCTTACCTTAATTATAAGGCTAACATCTGTTGTCAGGGCCTGCACCCGATGGAAACTAGCAATGAGAGTGATGGGAAGAAAGCCTTCCATGTCCATCTTCCGTCTCAGGAAAAAGTCTCGTTCCAAGTTGTCAACACTGAAGTAGTACTCTCTGAATGCAACAAGTAAGAGAAAACACACATGCCTCAGGCTACATCACACAGGTATCACTTTATTCATTTATGCTCAAATAAATACATTCTAGAGAATGTATTCCTTTGGGAACTAAAAATACCCATGTCTCCTTCCTGCCATCTAGAATTGATCAAAACATTCTTACTTCTATATACATTATATGGGTCATTCCAGTAGCAGAATCCTCCAAATGGCATTCTAGTAACAGAATCTTCTAAAAATGCAATTCTAAATTGGCCTGTTCCAGAGTAGCCCTAGTCATTTCAATGAGAGCAGCCTGGATGGCATCATCATGCTATACAAAAGAGATTGCCAATTTCTGAAGGCTACAATAACAAAACACTGCAGCTCAATCTTCTGGGAGGGGGCACAAATGCAAATGAGGTGATAAGGAACCTGGTAAGCTCTGCATTATTAACTTTTAAAAGGGAAAGACAAAAGCTAAGGATAAATCCATCTCCACAGCTTAAACTACCAATTTCAGGGTTCATAGCTTGAAGAATAAAGTAAGCAGATCCAATTCCTCTGCACTTTTGGGCAGCTTGTTGGCAGAGGACTTGCAGAGTACAACCTCCACCAAAGGGAAGCTTCCCTCCTCCATTTATTCTCTTGAAGGAGATGCAACCACTAGTTTGCCTACAAAGGTTAACTAGCATCAATTACAACAACACATTTCAAGCAGTCCAGCTTATGCTAGCAGCTGTTCATTCCTCATGCTAGACTCTCAACTTCACATAAGACATGATTGTGCCTTCATCCATTATGAATTCAGAGGGCAGCCAATATCCTGTAAGCTTCCAGCCAGCACCCTGTCCTAAATATTTGAACCAATGGACCCACTGAAGATCTCAGAACACAATGGGCTGAAGCAATGGTATAACAATCCCCATTCTATCTACTTTTATTTGGCAGCACAGGAAGTCCTGGAATAGGCCTATAAGACAATTTTTAAAAAAATAAATACATATAGGATGATGACCATTGGTAGAACTCTGACTTTACAGTCACCTGACTGACTCTTGAAAACTGCAAGTCAGCATTAAAAGCCTTTTGGAATGCTACTCCTACAACTGGAACAGATACGTACATCTGCCGTTTGATATAGTCCTTGAGCAACTCTTGATCAACGCTGTAGAGCTCAGTGCTGCTGATGTTGTCAAAGTAGTAGGTGATATTACTAGTGTACTTCTGAGTACGTGAGCCATCTGAGCCATCAAATTTCCGGTAACCGTAATGATAATCAAAGTGAGCTGCAGTGGAAACAAATGCAAAAGGATATTTTTAAGACATGTACTTTACTAAGGTCATTTTGTCCAGCATGCAATCAGAATCCACAATAGATTACAAAGATCAGATATACACATATTTGCAATACTTCACTTTAGGAACCAAGCATGGCATTGCTGTACCGTTCTCTTGAGCAGATTGATTTAAGTCAGATTTTTAACAAAACTGCAACCCAAGCACCCAGAGAGAAAATTGATCAGGCACTGATCAAGCAAAACCAAGCTACAATAAACAGCCATGAAGTTCTGCTGAATGGCCATTTCTTCAATGGTTATTACACTCATGCATAGGCTAGACAATCTCAAAATCTACAGAGCTCTGGCTTTATACATTACTTGTGTAACAGCTTTTCAGCTCAAAGTATCGAGTAAGAGCAGGTTGTTTACCTGTAACTGATGTTCTTCGAGTGGCCATCTGTGCAGTCACACATATTGGTTCTGCACCTGCGCAGTGCCTCTGGCCAGAAGATTAACAGCTAACAGTTTTTGGCGGGAACTCATCTCCCCCTCCCCCCTAGCATTATATAAGGAATGGAGTGTCCGCCATTTTCCAGTCTTTGAAAGACCGACGTTTGCTCCCTTAATAAATTTATTGTCATCATGACAAGAGAACCAACATTTTAGTGGCACGACAAATATCTAAAGAGATCCTAGCATCGAAGAGAAGGAAGTCGGACCACCCATGACACCAAGCAGGGTCGGAGGTGGGTTGTGTGACTGCACAGATGGCCACTTGAAGAACATCAGTTACAGGTAAGCAACCTGCTCTTCTTCTTTGTGGCCTCTGTGCATCACACATATGGGTAGAATAACAAGCTTACCCCAACTGGAGGAGGGAGGTGTCATCAACGAAGGACAGAAGAAAGAACAGCCCTGCCAAAAAAGCAATCTTGTCTGGCACGGACATCGAGCCTATAGTGCCTGGCGAAGGTACACAGGGTAGCCCAAGTGGCAGCTCTGCATATGTCTTCTATCGGGACCCCTGATGCAAAGGCCGAAGAAGCAGCAACAGCCCTTGTAGAATGACCTCTTGGAGTAGATGGTAAGTCCAATTTAGCTAACTGGTAAGACAGAACAACTGTCTTCACTATCCATTTGGAAAGTCATTGGGAAGTGACCGGGTAGCCTTGGTCATGTTCCGAGTATTTCACAAAAAGTCTATTGGAGTGTCGAACAGACTCAGTCCTGGACCTATAAAGGGCGAAGCAACGACGAACATCCAGCATATGCAGAGATCTCTCTATCGGATTCGAAGGAGTTGGAAAGAAGGCTGGTAAAACGATCTCTTGCTACTTGTGAAACCAAGTAGAGATTTTCGGAAGAAAAGACGGATCCAGCCATAGAACTACCTTTTCCTTATGAAAATTCAGAAAAGGGGGTCTACCCTAAGGGCACATAGTTCAGAAGATCTACAGGCTGAAGTAACTGCTACGAGGAAAGCAGCCTTCCATGAGACAAGGCGTAGATCAATTGTCGCCATGGATTCGAAAGGTGGTCAAGTCAGTGCTTGTAAAACTACTGAAAGACTCCAAGTGGGCATCAGGGGCCTTATTGTTGGATGGAGGTTACCCAATCCTCTCATAATCTTTTAATCAAAGGTTGAGAAAAAATAGAGAAACAGTGTACAGTTCCATGATAATGAGAAATCGCCGCTGTATATACTTTTATGGAAGAAGGTTTAAGTCCAGACTGATGCAATTCGAAGAGGAATTGAAGCATCTGTTGAACAGAAACTGAGGACGCCGAAAACGAGTGCGATTCAGCAAAGCTAGAGAATCTACACCATTTCGCTCCATATGATTTTCTAGTGGATGGCCTTAATGCAGATTCGAGAATGTATCACAGATCTGGGTGTAAAGTCTGTGGAGTAGAGGTAGTAGAGATCGACGGTGGCGTCGACACCGGTGCAGCGCATACGGTTATCGGATCCTCCATGCAGTCAGTTTCAGCGACAACAAGTCTGGGTGTCGGATCGTGCCCTCCCTCTGGGTAATGAGATAAGGAAGAAGAGGGAGTTGGAGAAAATCCTCCCGACAGATGTGAAGGACAGTTGAGAACCATGGCTTGCGTGGCTACAAGGGGGTAATTAGTAGCCCTGTGGCCCCTTCGTGAATGATCTTTGCCAACACTCTCATGATGAGGGGAATTGGTGGGAAAGCATAAAAAGCCATGTCATTCCAGGGGATCATGAAAGCGTCCCCAGACGACCCCTGTCCTATCCCTGCTCTGGAACAATAGTTCATGCATACCCTGTTCCGTTGTGTGGCAAACAGGTCTATGTCTGGCTGACCCCAGCGGTCAAACAGTCTGTCGGGAACCCGACGGTCTAGTTCCCATTCATGTGACCGCGACATATGTCTGCTCAAGAGATCGGCATCTACATTGTCCGTGCCCGCAAGATGTACTGCTAGAAGAGTGATACCTCTCGGTATGCACCAGTCCCAAATCTGCATGGATAGGTGGGCTAGTTTTTGGGACCAGGTTCCCCCTTGTTTGTTCAAATAAGAGACCGTAGCCATGTTGTCCGAGGTCACCTGGACGATCTGGTGGAGAAGAACGTCCTCGAACGATTGCAGGGCTTTGAAAACAGCAAGAAGTTCCAGGAAGTTGATGTGGTTCCTGGAATCCCGGTGACTCCATACCCCTTGGGTACGTAGATCGGAGCAAATGGCTCCCCATCCCAGCAGAGACGCGTCGGTACCAAGGGTCACTGTAGGGTCCCGAGGTCGAAATGGGACACCAACATTTAAATTGGCTGGTTCTATCCACCATAACAGGGACTGAAGAACGGAGACCGGAAGTCGAATCCGTTTGGTAGGTGGATCTGTCTGTGGTCGGAACATCCCGTTGAAGAACAGCTGGAGAGGGCGTAGCCTGAGTTTGGCGTGCAGAACCACAGCGATGGATGCAGACATGTGTCCCAACAGGCTCTGGACAGACCAAGCAGGGACAGTTCTTTCTTGTTCAATCGGAGAGATGCACCGAGCAATAGCATGTTGTCTGTCTTGAGGAAGAAAAGCTCTTGCCAACGTCGAATCCAGCCGGGCTCCGATAAAGTTGATTGTCTGTATAGGGAGAAGAGAAGACTTCTGTTGATTAATACAGAGTTCAAGGTCTTGTAATAGAGCACATGTAATCTCAACAGCAGACGAAAGTCCTGCTTTTGTGTCGGAAACCAACAACCAATCATCAAGGTACGGGTATATCCGAATTCCACGTAAACGAAGGTGTGCGCAGACAGGGGCCATACACTTCATAAAAACTCTTGGTGCAGTGGCCAATCCAAACAGTAACTCCTTGAATTCGTAGATTTCAGAGTCTACCGCAAAACGAAGGAAGTGCCTGTAACATGGATATACTGAAATATGAAAATAGGCATCCTTCAAATCCAGCGAGGCGAACCAATCCCCTCTTCCCAGCAACGGAAGTATATTTTGAAGTGTGGTCATCCGAAACATCTTTGGTGTTATGAATCTATTGAGAGCTCAAGTCCAATATGGGTCGGAGACCCCCATCTCGTTTCAGGACTGTAAAATATCTGGAATAGAATCCGTGGAGTCCCTCTGATAACAATAAGCGACAAACAGCTCCTTGAGTAAGAAATCTCGTCCAACAGTACCGACGAGGTCGGTCTAAAACGGATAGGATTCAGTGATGGAACAACGTCTAATTCAATTCCATAGCCGTGCTGGATGATGGATAACACCCACCCATCAGATGTGATGAACTCCCAAGTGGGGAGCCGACTTTTCAGCCGGTCCCCAAATGAGAGGGGAGGGTGAAGTTGGGAGGAGAGGAGAGGCTCGCTCGTTGCATCACAGCTGTCGCCTGTCCTTGTCAAAGCAGCAGCGGCCCTGCTGGAAGCGCTGGGATGGTTGTTCTCTGCGGCGTTGCTGGCGTTGATGCGGTTGTTGTTGCCGAGGCTGAAATTGTTGGCGGTATTGTCAGTGCGACCATGACCACTTAGGTCGAGGCAGGGATTGCAGTTCCATACGACAGGCCGTCATTCTGGATTCGTGGATTTTCTTCAGTTTGCTATCCGTCTTCACATTGAAGAGACCGGATCCGTCGAACGGCATCTCCTCAATTCTCCGCTTCATTTCGTCCGGAAAATTGCAATTACGCAACCAGGTGTGTCTGCGGAGGGAAATGGCACCGACAAGCGACCTCGAATCAGAATCAACATGGTGCCTCGCTGTGGAGAGCTGTTGCACCGCCACCTGCATAGCTTCCTTAACAAAGGTTTTTGCAAGTTCGTCCTGGTTTCCTGGGAAGGTGTCAATGATAGCGTCTAGGCGTTACATAAGAAAATATTTATAGTGCACCAGGGTCGCCTCATAATTGGAAATTCGTAATCCAAGGCCCGAAGCTGCGTATATCCGGCGGGCGAGGGAGTCAACTTTTCTTCCCTCTTTATCGCAAGACGAGGTGTGTCCACGTGCTTCCCGGCCCTGGGAGGATTCCACAACAACCGAGTTCAGCTTGGGGTGATGGAGGAGGAACGGGATGTCTTCCTCCCGAACCCAATACATAGACTCGTATTTACGTGAAGTCGGTTGTGGGTGAGCCGGGAGGTCCCATGCTGAGTCATTGCCTGCTGTAGGGTCGTAATGAACAGCAAGGCAATAGATGTGGATCGTTTGCCCCTGACCACATCATAAAAATGGTCAGTGCTCGGTCCCGGTTGTTGGTGGGCTTTGATGTCGAGCGACCTCACTAGCCTGGCCATCAATTCACTGAAAGAGATGTATGGTTCTTTAGGTGACCCCAGGCCCTGCGAAGTAACCGCTGCATCTGGTGAGGTCGAGTCAGCCTCAGACTCATCAGATTCCATCCAGTAGGGGGGTGGTGCACTGGACGAAGACTCTCCTGGTGACTCTGATCTGCTGCTTTCTTTAGATGGAGCCCTCGGGGCCTCTCTGGGCGTTGAATGGAAGCGATCCCGAGGAGCTGGCAGCGAAGATCGTCCCCTGGAAACTGGGTAATAGGCCACGGATTGGTACTCTTCCCGTCTCGGAGTGGAGGAGTATCTGGAATGGTACCAGTCATCAGATCTAGCATCCGAGGAACGGCTCCTGCGGCTTCTCAGGGGAGAGATGGCGATCTCGGTATCCAGAGGGACAGGCAGCATTGGCGTTGGTGACCAAGCTCTCAGTGGAGAATCTCTTATTTCCCCATCTGAGATGGAACCACGTTGTGAATCCAGAGGAGGTTCAGCTGCCGATCGGCGCGGTGAGCCTGGCGGGGTAACCCTCATAGCCACCTGGATGGTCGGGACCGAGGGGGTTGGTTCTGTGGCTGGAGTCGGGATCGAGGAAGTCGCCGACCCCGAGTGGCGATGCTTTGCATGCTCGGGATTCTCTGGCTTTTTAACCGGCTTGCCCGCCTTATCTTTGTTGGCCTTCTTATGCACAGCATGTTTGTCCGGATCGCTGTGCTTTCTCTTCTCCTTTTGTTTCCTTGGTAGGGAAAAGGGCTTATCGGCCATGGTATGAGCACCTTCTTCAGAAGGGTGTGAGGGTGGAGCAATGGAGGAAGAGGCTGGGCATTGCGGCAGGTCAGCCGAAGTTGGACGACCTTCGGGTGGAGCCACAGTTGTGGGAGGTTTAGCCACCAGCTGGTCCGATTGGAGGAGAGCCTGGTCCCACAAAAGCTTGCGGAGGTGGTTCTCCCAATTCTTCCTCGCCTGTTTGGAGAAGGCCAAACAATGGCCACATTTATCGGTCCTGTGCCCTTCCCCCAGACAAAGGAGGCACAGGTCATGCGGGTCCGCAGCAGGCATTTTGGAGCCGCACTTCCTGCACTTGCGGAACGTCACCCGTTGCGCCATCGTAGAAATAGAAGAAAAAAGGAGATAGTAAAGCGGGAAAGTAATATTTTTGGTTTTTTTTTTTTTTTTTTTTTAGGAACAAGAGAGAAAAAACGGTGAAAAGCAAAGAAGTAAGTAAAATACTAACAGCAACAGGAATGAGGGAATACTAACTTGGTAAGAAAAAGGGAAGTTTTTCAACAAGCGAGAGGTAAGTAATGATCTAAACGAGAGCAAAGCAGCACGAGGCACAATGAACAGTGGTCGCAAAGACTGGAAAATGGCAGACACTCCGCTCCTTATAATGCTAGGGGGGAGGGGGAGCGGAGTTCCCACCAAAAACCGTTAGCTGTTAATCTTCCAGCCAGAGGCACTGCGCAGGCGCAGAACTCATGTGTGTGATGCACAGAGGCCACGACGAAGAACTATTATGACCCTTATTTCCAATGGCACTGACATCTGCAATGACTTCACAGAAAAATGAAAAATGCATCAGCTCAAACTACGCTGAGTCATGGCCTAGCACAAATAAATCAGCTGCATCCCAATCACTGACATTCCAAGTGGGAGTAAAGATTTCTAGCCTTCCAACTCTTTATCTGAGGCATCAGCAACATCCTGTACACAGAAACATTGTTGTAAACATTATTATGGTCTTACACATACAGCGAGTACCTCCTCTCCCTCGCCCTCTCCCTCGTCCACGACCACGGCCTCTGCCCCTGAAGGCACCACGTACAGTTGCCCCTTCACTTTTGACACTGGAAGTTTCATCATGGTCAGGCCAGTTCCGTTCATGCTTGTTATCTAGATGCCAACCTGCAGAATTGGGCAACAATAGGAAAAATGTCACAAACAAACATACCCTGCAACTGCAAAATGTTGTGCTGGGAATCATGGGTGAATCATGGATTCCATATGCATCACACAGAGGATGACAGAATCTTAGAGTGGAAGAATAAACTAGGCTTCATCAGCAACATGCATGCATTCCAACAGAATTTCCTACCAAATTGCTAAATATTTGTACATATACAGCAGACCACAGAGAAATTTGAAGTTTAATCTAGAGAGAGATAAAGAAACATGGCCGCCTGACCATTACCAAAAGCACAGTGTTCTGCTGCTGCCTTCAAAGGCATTCCACTCATACCTTTTGATTCACTCCGGTTGTTGGAAGGGTGCCGATGCTGCTCATTCTGTCTGTTGTTGCGAGAAGCAGTTTTGTCCCTTGGCACCTCAGACTTCATATCTATTTGCAAAGGGACCCATTTGTGTCTGTTGCCTGCAAGCCAAAAAGTACTAACTATACAAATCCTTATGAGGAATTGCAAATATGAATGTAAGACTTCCTCCCATACCCCCAAATCAACCTTATCACCTGCCCCCAAAAATAAGGCAAGTAACTTTTCATGAAGAACCTCAATTTAAAATGCTTTAGGGCTTCAGAGACTAGAACTGAACTGGATGTCAAGGTCACTGGATGTCAAGGGCACGTAAGGCATTTCAAAAAAAGCCAACTAACAACCTGAACCTTTGTCACTGTAGTATAGTGGGTAGAGAGCTGAACTGGAACTGGGGAAACATGTTACTTAGAACCTATTTTGGCAGATCTGGAAACAAGGCCTACAAGAACTATAGAATGGAAAGAAAACTTTAGCCAAGAACATCCTGACTCATAGTTTAACTCCACAGGTAGGCCAGAATGTCTTTCAGGAGTGCAGAGATTTCTTACAGCCCAAAATCCTTGATTACTATGAGGAAAGACAGACCCCACACAGGGCTGAGCCCATGGAGAAAGATATTTAACTGGTTGCTATGGTGACCAGACCTTGGCCAGGGCTTCCCAGTAAGGAAAAAGAACCAAGATGGAGACTTCCAGTGGCTCTCTGACCAGACTATATGCCCTTGTAAAACTCCTAGACTAGATCAACTTCCGTAAGAAAAAGAAAGGGTTTCTATGTAGTCAAGTGGTATAATTAAGTTTCCACTCTGGCTTTCCATCTACCAACACAGAACAACATTTTAGTTTCAGCTGAAAATGCTTTAACTTAGCCTAGGTTTAACTTAGTGAAGGGTTTCATAAAGGACAAATTGTAGATAACTGTGTATGTTACAAGCCTTGTATGCAGGGCCCCCCCCCACCATTTTTTCTAACCCTTGTCATCTCTACTCTTGAAGACATCCTGGGACAATCAACGAAGATGACATCAGAGTAAGGAATTTTCTGTCACAAATTCAACTGTCCTCATTATTTGTTTTGATGGTTCTTCAATGGAAAGCTACCTGGATCACACTTCAGACATAGAATAAGCACTGCACACAACAGAGCTTTGACTTGTTTTTACTAATGCTATTTAAACAGTGACAACTTCATTCAATGGTGATTTTTCAAAGAGCAGTACATGTCCACTGATCTTCTATCAAAAATTAAAAATAAAATGGCTACCCTTGTGTGGGAATCCTTTTATTAAAAAGCCTGCACAACTGGCTGAAGTGTACTCATACCATATTTTTTTTATTATTTTACATTCCCCAACCTGAAATGCTACCACCCCTTCAAAATGTTGCTCACCTTTTTTCTTCTGAGCTGATTTCTGGTTGTCATCATCTCCATTCTTCTCTTCCCCAGATTCATCTGACCGAGTTTTCATGTTCTCTTTGCCATCACTTCCTTCACCCTTCTCCTGCTCTTTCATGTTTTTCTTAAGAGGAACCTTCCGGAGAGATTGGGGCTTGTGTGGCAGCTGCTGGAAATGAAAAATCAGACATGTAATATGGATGAGCAAAGACTAGGTCCTAACCAGTACAGCAAATTTAACCGCCCAATGCACTCAGAATCATGCTGATATGACCACTCTAACTCTGGATGCACAAAGTTTGGAAACCAAGAACATTAGCTATATTTGAGAAAGCTCCAATTTGGGGGAAACTGAGAAAGCAAAACTTGAAGCCTATGAAGTTACCACACAGTTATTCAGCAGCAGCAATATGTACTCAAAAAAGGAAGAATATGAAGAAGCCAAATTAGAGAAGTGTGCACTTAAGATATAAGCACTACAGAAATAAGGTCTTCCTAATCATTCAGAAGCCAGACAAGCTGCAGTTAGTGAATGAAGACAGGTCAGGATACCAAACCAGAAATGGAGCTCACTGACAAGAGGCCATTATGAAGCTTGGGAACTACTGCCAAAGGGAAGGTAAAGCCAAAAATAGAAGCGTGCTTAAGCACTGCTGCATCTGTACTCATGGGTGTTATAGTATGCACATGCAGCAGCCAACAAGGCAAGTGCAAAATTGCCCACTTAAAAGCCAGACTGGGTGCTGGCCACTTGAACTATTTCATTCACTTTTCATGGCAATTCCTGCTTTGTTCAAAGGCTTGGTAAATGTACCTTCTCTGCTGCAATATACTGTGACCAAGTTTTAGAATGGGCTCTAGGCTCCTTTCCCAGAAATAGCACTGCTGAGCTACAGAGAACAGTGGGCAGGAAAACCCTAAAAGGAAATCCTCTGCCTGGGACCTGTAATGAGCTATTCCTGGCTTTCTCCTAAGCAAGGATTTAGCACCCCCAAAAAGTGCTACTCAGTCTGAGCTCGCAGCAATGTAGTATGGAAACTACGGACTCTGGGCCACGGCAGGCGCTTATTCCCACACAGTTTCACCTCCTTCAAACATTCATATATGCACAATACGTAAAGAGGATATTTGACCACTTTCAGGATGGGGAGGCCTGACTATATTCCTGTTCATTTTGATTTAAGAATGGTAAACCACATAAAGATATCAGCAAGAATGCTGAACAGTAAAATCTCACGTGAAATATAGTATGGAATATAGACAATCAGTTCTGAAAATCAGTTTTATACCAAGATATGTAAGTATGCATACTCTTTTATTTAAGCCTTGCATTCTTTCCTTCAATTTAGATTTTAAATATAATGAAATCATTTCTTCTGAAAGTTCAACCTATGTCTCTTCTCCAATATTAAACTTGGGGTGCTCAAACAAACATTAGGGGACTTGCTGGATCAACGAAATGCAGTCACAATATATGTGCAACTAAAAGACTCCCAAGTTACATAACCTCTGAGGGCTCATAGAGACAAACTTGTCTAAGCAGAGAGGACCTCTAGTGGTGAACTCTTCACATACACAAGGAGGATGTGGTTAAAAAGGTAATCATATTAGGATTAGCACCCTATTCCCTTCCTGATGCTTACAAAAGTCTGAAGGAGAGAAAAGGGAAAGAAAACTAGAAAGTTGCCCTATCTGAAAAATTCTAAATCAAGGTCTAGTAAGGATTAGAAAATAAATACTGAGGAAAGAATGAGAAGAACAGAAAGAAGATGACCTTTAATCAGCTTCATTTTATATGGAGTACCATGTTGCAATGCCAGGACCATAACATCAGCCAAAGGACACTTGGCTTCTTTCCCTCCTTCACCTGACAGAAGCTGCTACACTGGCAAACACCAGGCAGTGAAGATACTTTGCCCACTGCACAGAACATTACTCTTTAACCTGTTTAGCTACTGATTTACTTAATTTCAAAAACAGCTTTCCTTGTGTAGGAAAAAATACTTAAAATTCACAGAGCTGCTGGAATGAATGCAAAATACTTTTATTTCCTTCTTTTAAATTAAGAATTATGACTCAATCCAAATCCCAAGTTTTTAAATTAAAAAAACAAAAACCACAAGTCTTTCAGAAAGTCCCAACCATTCAAGTTAACATGTAGATGCTTTATTTATATTCATTTGTAATCATTAAAAGAAGGTAAAAGAAGGTAAAAACCGCTAGGAATATAAGATCAACAGGTTCTGTGGTTGTGTAAATGCCAAAGCTGTGGTGAGTGTAGCTTCTACAGTACAATAATACAGCACTCGCTTTTGGAAACTACACATGTCCCAGCACTCCCCCCGAAACACACACGCACACACACACTTGCTCAACAGCTGCAGTTGTACTGGGAAATGAGACGGCCAGTTCTGAACATCAGTTTTCCTTGCAAGTGGTAGTATGTAGAGAAGTATGTCAGTTTTATACTGCCACTGAATAATATTAGGAGAAAGAAACAGAAACAGTCATTTGAACTATTACATGGGTTTGAATGTAAGAACAACCAGCCCTATGCAGCACAAGCTCTTTTTGGAAAAACTCACAGTGCTCCTGATAGATTATTCACTGTGGCTGATACCCACCACTTCCCCCTTCAGTTCTTCCACCTGTATCCCAAGAAGCTATATGGCAGAACCTGCCTTATTTCCTTTGCCACTCTGATCATGACTCCTTTTGCGCTTGTCATGACTTTGTCCTATTTTGGGGGTGGGAGAGGAGAAACTTTTTTGCAATCTCTAAAGTGACAGCAGTTTCAAAGTGCCCAAACAACACACTGGAATAGCCATCATTGGCTTGACTACCCTAAATGCAATGCCATGTCTGCTTAATGTTCTGTAAAGTGCCTGCTGGGTGATGACAAAGCCACACATTTGTTTGCTTTAGGTTGACCACTGTCTAAAATTCCTATAAGATCTTGGCTTGCAAAAGAGGGTAGTGGCTACATCACCCCCTTTCAAGTTGGTCCTTTGGGATTTCAGTTTAGACCTCTTCACTCTTCTTCACATTTTCCAAGTTTCCAGTGCTTGGGAAAGCGGAACAATGCAGCCTCCTCCCATTCGCAGGAGCTCACCAGGTCAGACTGCTTATCTGTAGCTGTAGTTTTTCAAGGGTCATCTGTGAACTCACATATATGGGTTTTGATGCCTACACAAAACGGCATCCAAACACTCTAAAGCTACACACAGTTTTTCGGGGGAGCCTCACCCCACTCTGTGTACACCTTAGGCATGACTCCCATCTGGCTCCTGGTGCTAGATCTGCCACAGTGGAGGAAAGTGAACTGCTAAGACATCAAACAGGGAGGAGGAAGGTGGATTGTGTGAGTTCACGGATGGCCACTCAAAGTTCTACAGTTGCCACTATGGAACCAACCTTTTCTGTTGCCTCTGTGATTACAAAGCTAAAAGGCATACTATCAGAGAAACATGTCACACAAGGATCAAGGTAAAAGGATCATTTCAGGCTCACACATCCAAGTGGTTGTTGTCACAAGCCAAGTCCCCGCCCCCTTTGAACTTCCAAAACATAGACCATTCTTTGGTAAAGGCTTTTTATTCTCCAGTGCACTTCCAGTAAACACAACCAACAAAGCATGAGTCTCTGAACATGCGGAGTGGTTCACTGAACCCAATATAACAACTACTGCCCAACTTTCTCCTTTTGAGTAGCTTTAGGGCCCCTCCCTCTGGAATGTCCTTTCTGGAGGTGGGCAAGCCTGTTTGCTGTTCATTGCCCCTCTAGTTGGTCAGCCGTATCTCCCAATGTCACATCATGGAGTCAAGGAGTTGTCTGAGACAACTCCTGCAGTTATTCTCCCAGGTCCCCTCCCTGAAGTTCTAAATACTGACTTCTCAGTGTCCACCTGAACACCTGGAAAGATGTCCTTCAGATAAGCCCCTCTGATTCTTCCATTTCAACATCTAAGAATTCTGGTTTCCAGAATGACTCTATTGCTCTCATAACGTGACCCTTCACTTGGAGAGGGGATAACAGAAGTTGGCTGGTAAGCCAGGTGAATATTATCCATTATCTAGGCATTGTGAGGAAACGGACTGGCTCTCTCAGGGTTCAGAGGGGGGGGAAAGGATTTAGGTGAACTTCCCAAAAGATGACACCTTGTCAGTGTAAAAGGAAAGGGACTGGAGGTCATCAAGCAAATACGAGTTTAGTGTCCCGTTGAGGTGTTGGTTGAGGGAAGAAAACCAGCTGTACAACATCCTGGTTTAAGTGAAATTGGGATACAGCTTTAGGTAAAACCAAGTAATCAGGTTGGAGAACCAGCTTATCTTAATGTAGTCTATTGTTAGAAGACAAAGGTCCACTGTGACTAGTGGTTTGAAGGATTTGGTGGTTAAATGAGTTAGTAGTACAAAAAGACTCCATGAGAAAGTCGGGGCCATATGTGGTCAGTATAGGTTACTGAGGCTTTTTTTTTCTCATAAAAAAGGGAGTAAGAGAAAAATAAAGAGAAAAAATGAGAAAAAAGATACCAAGGGATATTACACAAATATAGCATATAATTTCAACATCTAATACATTCACAAAAAAGTGAAAATTTCTATCTCTTCTACTCACAGTTAAGTCAATCCATTCTTAATTAAGATTTGCAAACAAATTGATCTAATTTATCAAACTAATCGTAAATAACATCATAGCTTTAGGATTGAGGTAAAAGTCAATTCTTTTACAAGTTCTAGTTTCTTGATCATCAGTTAAATTTCTTATAAAAAGTTTTCCATTTTCTTCACATTCTTTAACAGGCCTTCTATTTATATAACTGGTTAGTTTCTCCATTATTGCATACTCAGCTCGTTTTTCTAATATTCAGTAGTTGGGCAGTCTTCTGCTTTCCACTTTGATGCAATTATAATTCTTGTCGCTGTTATTGTGTATTTGGATAACTCTAGCATGCTCTTTGGAAGAGTCTCTGGTATAATATTCAATAGAAGAGTTTTAGCATTCATAGGAAAATTAAATTTAAGAATTTCTGCATTTCCATGTGTATCCGATTCCAAAATCTGAATTTATCACAAATCCCCACATATGGTAAAAAGTCCCACTAACTTCTTAGTATACCACCAGGAACATCTTATATCAGGTTTCTCTTAATGCCTGATGGACTGTAAA